GCTTACCGCAACTCGAAGATCTACCGGGCAACCCGCACTTATTCAAGATCCAGTACAAGAAGCTAAAGTCGGGCGAGGACTGGCAGACGGTGGATATCAATTTACCTCATTACTCTGCTAGTCACGTCGTCGACCACCTCGTTCCAGGTACGAGTGCTGCGATCTCCTGCCATCGTCATTCCCTTCCTCTGTTGGCTTCATTTGTTTTAGGCAACTACTACCGTTTCCGCGTCGCCGTCATCTACGACAACTACCTGCAGAGCACTAGTAAAGCGTCGGTCAAGTTCACTCTGGACAAGACGACTTCCGTCAAGCCTCCTTCAGCTGCACCAATCGCGCTGAAAGCCGTCTCCAAGTGGCCAGACGCCATCAAAATCGAATGGCAGGTGATACGAGTTGCTTTTTATTCGTTACAGTGTCTTACATGCTCATGTGTGTCTTCGTCGTTTAGTACCCTAGCGAAGAAATGACCAATATCGACGGATTCGTCATCCGCTTTCGTCGCATATATTCCGGCGCTGGGGTTGCTTACGAAAACGTAAGTCTTACTTTTTAGCCCACCTTATTGGAGAAAGTAATACCTGTACCATTCATTACGTTTTGTTTGTCTGTTTGTTTGTGTGTTCATTGTCATTTTAACTCGTAACATTGCCTGAGTCTGAATATCTATGTCTTCATTACGCTGAATGGAAGATTACATTTGTGTTGTCTTGTACCATCTGTGCAAATTAATTGCATACAAGGATAATTTTGGATACAGCTGTCGCTCTTCCAGCCGCATATCCAAAGTTTATGCGAACTCCAAACGTTTGATGAATCGTAGCTCTCCTGACCATTCAGTTTCTAACAGGGCATGTAGCTTCTCGAGTGCCCAAGAAAAAAATTGACAGTTTTTCGTGACAGGTGAGAACATCTCTCGACACACTGATGCCATAATCTTACTTTGTTTCAGTTGTAGATGTGTTGCGTTAATTTCATGTGATTTTGCTTACTCTAGCAGCTCGTTCAGAGCGACTTGACATCAAAGTTGGCCTGTCTTCTGAAAAAGTTTCAACCGGAAGTTGGCACCGCCGTGAATTAAATTTCAAAAATAGTTTATTGAAATAATTACATATTCTTATTTGATTTATTGTTAAGATCAGTTATGAAGCATTGAATAATACGCGACCACATTCAGTTCCGGAGCAAAATCCGCAACCGTCATGCATCTCTGATGGCAAACCGCCAGCAGGAGAGGCCTTCTTAATGTTTTAATCCAAACTCCCCATCCCCACCCCCGTTTGGATGAGCAGTCTTGTGATAACGGGTACTTCTCTTGAGTTTGAAGACGCGGCGGATACAGTTTCGTGAAGTTGTACAGATAGATTTGTTAAGATAGAGCACGGGAACAAGCGAGTAGTCCAGTGGAGCGCCACTGTTGCAGCAGCGGCAATCAAACTCGGTTAATTGTATACGTCTTTTTCCATCTGTTCATTTTACTGCCGGTTTGTTCTACTATTGCGCTTTTCACTATTTTAAATTCAGTTTCCCTCTCCTTCAGTTATTCTGTTGAATTGTCAGTGGAATACATAGTTCTTTACGATAAAGTGTTCTGCCACCGTTGAACCTTTATAGTTTCGTCTGCTGATGTAGGCATACGTTATTCTCTCTATCTTCGTTTTTAGTATTTTTTTCCAGTTTCTCTTATTCAAGAATTGTGATAATTGCAGTTGAGGTGTTTTGTTGTGGTAGAATCTCTTTCTTATACAGAAAACACCCTAGTTTACTCGGGGAATAGAAAGGCATATTGTTCTAACGTCGTATCTATTCACGATTCGTTTTATCCTTTCATTCAGATTGTTTTTGTATGGAATCTCTAGTAAAGCGCAAAAGAGGGCTACTGTCAAAGTTACTCGACGTATAGGCGGTTGTCTCTGTTCAGCTTCTAGTCCGCCTTTCAGAATTTCTTGATAAAATGAAATGAAAGGAATTTAATTTCAAACCATTGCTTCTTCCCGTTTGAAATGCTTCCAGAAAAGCCCACGTGCTTTAATAGGTAATGCGGATACTTTGAACAAATGAAATAGTTGTTTTCTGACCTGTATCATTCCTTTTACGCGGAGGCAAAGGAGTGGCGCTGTAGATTAGCAATTTGACTTTTTACTTCAGAATTACAGCGCTAAAATTCTAAGTTTTCTTATTAATTGCATTTGATCAAGAAATTCATGCCTCTCTAATTCGGTGCGACCAGCCATGAAGTGGGCTAGAATTGTTGACTTGCGTGCAGTACGGGCTGCCTAGTGTTTTTAGGTGTTATGCTAGAGTACTGCGAGGTTTACGACATGTTCTCTGATAGCTACTTAAGAATCAATACAAATTGTATACCGTAAACTTTCTTCCGACCAGCCGTCTATGATTCCTCTCCTGGCGACTCATGGTACGGAATTTCACGTGACTTGAACAAGCAGCTGCTTCTCGCTGGTTTTCTCTTCTACTCGATTTTTTCCCTATGTGTAGAGAGATAAGTGTTAATTCTCTATACAGACTTTGTGTTTTATCTTTTATTCATAGTGTTTTTTTTTAACTCTCATCCGGCTCTTTCAAAGATTGCCTAGAACAGCTGTAAAGTTGATCGTTTTAGGAAACGATACCAGGTGCGACCACGCGAGAGCATATGCTTGATCACTTGCTGCCCGCGACCCCGTATGAGATCAAAGTCGTTGCCTACAATGCCGCTGGACAAACGCGTTCTTCGAATACCGTCGTTACGAACACTTTAAGTAAGTAGTTTTAATCTTATGTCCAATCACCTATAGAAGAAGAATGTTTCATTTCCAGAACTTGTGAATTGCTTTCTTCAAATTTTAAATTCAAGCAAATCGTCATTTTTATCACAATTTTAATTATTCGATGTCAGTTTTATGAAATTATGTCATATTCTCGGTATATCTGGATTTAATGATTACTGTATTTCAGGAAACATCTCTAAGAGTAAGTCTCGAAGTATCTTATGCTTGCGTCGTCGTCACGTAGTTGTGCCGTCACTGCCATTTTGTTCATTATTGCATGATATTTGTCGTCTGTAGATGGGGAGCGCGTTTCACCAAATTATAAAAACTGGGTCCAGTGCGGTTGTAAACTAAAATTGTTTGATAAGTCACCTCAGGCTTTTCTCAGTGAACTCGGCTAGTTATTCGACGATTCAATTACTTGTACGGTTTTTTTATTCCGAGATTGATAAATGAGCATCACTCTGTAAGAAGATGATTACACCCTGTGCTTGCTAGATAGTTGCTGCCGATTCTACTTTTGAAATGAGACGTTCTTGGCTTGTAAACTTAGAAATGGAGATCATCGCCCCGCCTTTAACTGCATGAAAATAAGGGTGTCATAAATGGCTCCTTTATGAAAGTGTGAGGAAGGCCGTCTTTGGAACTCGTTTTGTCCTTTCTTAGAAGAGATCAAGACAGTTTGAGGCCTTTGTAAAGATTCCTTCCAAAAGTAACGACTTTTTAAATCGCTCTTTATTGCCGCAAGTTCTTTATTGTTGAACTCTTGACTTCTAGAAAAGCAACACTGTCTGACGGTAAATGATGTCCTGTATAGCAGCCAACT